TAAAAAACCCTGATGCTACATATATTCCTAAGATGCCAGCCCAAAGTGGCATTAACCAAAGATGACCAACCACTGGTAAGTACACTTACAGATTTTAAGTTTTTTTTTCAATATTTTCTTTTCACGAAAACCACACTTTCATTTCTTTTTTCATATTGTTCAGTTGGATTAGTACTATAGGTAATAAATAACTCAACGGCCATTCCCCATAAAGCATAGTGTTGGCGGCATTCTGAGTTTATTTCTACCATGTCTGCGATAGATGTTATTGCAACCATAAGTAAAGTGTAATGGTAACTAATAACAGTTTTGATTCCGTATAAATTATGAAATCAAGTAATATAATGACCAATGACCTTACCATCTGCCTGCAAGTCTGCATTGCATTCCCAAAAAGGTCGTTTTACTCTGGATGGGCCCGCTGCTTGAGCATGAAGACAGTAAGCTCTCAGAACTCCACACATATCAATCAATGGCACAATCTTCAAGACGTAGCTCTCGAAAGACCGTGGCGAGACTACACCAAGAGCAGACGTGGCTAGCCTGATAGCATCCTTATTGTCTCATTTCTTTTTTGAGGATGCTGCAGCTAACGCCACAGAAATGTGCTCTATTGGCAGTAACTGTACCACGATATATAACGTGTATCCTCAGGATCTTCGCGGAAAAGATTAATTTAGCATATATGTTATGATTTTCTCTCAAAAAAAAGAACAAGAAAAATATCGGCTACTCTAAAAGTTATGCGGCACATGGAAAGGCCTAAAATGACAGCTTACGTCATAGAAGCTTCTATTTCCTGCAACTTGCATACCTTTCAGCTGCTGGGATAGTTAATATCGTGGAAGACTCTCGTGTACGTGCATTGCACACAATACATGCAATGCACGATTGCGCGGAGTCCATCGTGGTGTAGTAGTGGTGTTCGACGGCTAACCCGAAGGTCGCGGCTTCGGTCCCTAGCCACGGCGGTCTCCTTTGATGAAGTTCAAATGCTACAGGCCAGTGCGCTGCGCAATGTCAGTGCAGCCTAAAGAGCACCAGACAGTCAAAATTTCTTGATCCCTACATTACAGCGTCTCTCAAAATTATATATCCTGGTGCTGAAATGTAGAACTCCAGATAATACTTCACTAGTGCGCAAATAATGAATTGTGCAATAGAATTGTTTCCGGCATCACACAGATGTATTACATATTTTCCAAACAGGGCAGCAGGAATATCCGCTGCTGATGTACGACGAAAGTGGAAAAATATAGGCTGGCTAAAATTTATTCATTCAATTCCTCCATCTTTTGCTTAAATAAAAGAGTTCGGTACAACTGAACCAATGGCTTCGGCCGAATTCAAACGTTTAGACTGCGTATGGATACGTGATTTAGCTCAGATTTGAAATTGCATGTATAAAGTAAGCCGAAAACCAATTACAAAGAAAACAACGCAAGTTTGGCAGTTAGGTGAACTTAGGATGAAGAATATTACGGTGATATCAGTAGTAAAGAAGATACACGGAGATGTATTAGGGCAATTCAGTGTGTGCTGAGGTGAGGAAGATGGACTTGAGGACGCTAGAAATGGTGTGTTTAAATGAGGATATCTGCTGCCAGAAGGAAGGCGGTCGACACAATACCGAGTCAGCTACGTTTTTTTAAACGCCTCGTTCTGCGAAGCGTCCTGCATCTGTTCAGGCAGAAATCATGAATATTTCTTGTAACTTCATGTTTTAGTTGCTATGTTTCTCAATTGTCGCTCCAGAGCATAATTTTTGCCATGCTAAGGATTTTAAGCAAACACCCGAATCAAAGCAAAACTTTTTTTCACGCAGGCAAACAAAGAGGTGACTGTCCTTTGTTTCCCCTCATTACTGCAAGTCTGCAGCCAAAAAAGGGCAAGGCCTGGAGCAGTGAGTTCAGTACTCGTGGTTACGCGGCGGCTCTCATACGACTACGCCTCCACAAAATGCAGCTGTTCGGTTCTACTCGACAGACCCCAGCGTTTGTGAGGCCGGTAGATTACCCATCACCGTACAACATAGGTCTCTACGGCTAGATTTATACCAAAAGATAGAGCAGCTGGCCAGTTGAGTGAAACGAATGAAATGCAAAACAAAAAGAAATACATGGTAAAACCCAAATAGGATGGAAAAGAAGGAGGCACGATAGTTGCTGCGCAAGACTGCCGGCAATGCATTGCGACTTTGGTTTGCATCCTCCGTTCCTCTTCCGTCGCCTATGAAGCATCTCTCCCATACTAGACGAACAGGAATGGTGTAAGAACGTTCTGTGTGCGCACTTTAGAAGAATACAAGGGCTTAGCGCTGACAGCGTGCATGGGTATACGCAACCAGCATCAAACGATCTCGGCGCAGAGGGAATCCGAGTTGGCAGAACAAGAAAGAGGCGTGCACTTGCTGCGCATGGCGTACCCGATTGCAGATATCGAAAGCGGTGTTTACTTGGGAAAATACTTGGCTCGCAGAAACGCTATTCCCGATTTCAGCTCCCTTTTAATCTGCTTTTATGGATATATATGTCTGCTTTAGCATACGGCATTATCATACTGCTCCACAGGTCTCACGCCGAGAGCATTCAGTCCTACAATGAACGACACGCATCACCGCACAGCGCAGACGACGGACGTACTCGTCTTCACGACTATACGTTTCTCATCTGCGTACGTGGAACCACAGGTTACGCTTGACGCACCTTTGTTTTGAACCATTGACGCGTGAGTGGTCCAAACAATGAGAATAAAAAAAATCTTCGGGTGTAACTTTGGGGTGGACATTTCAATACTATTTTTATTGTATGCGTTGCATTCATGACGTTTACAAAAACTGATGAGATTAATGTCTCCTAGAAAAACATACGTACGATTGCTCAACCTGTCAACAACTCTACACGTGTAGAAGAATTTGCGGCGGTACAAGAACTGCAGCATATACCACTATATGCCTGATTATATGAGACAACCCTACCTGATTACACTACCTGATTCAAATGCATAACAAGCACCTCCCTTGTTTTTCTTTCTTTCTTTAGGCGAAGCTTGTATTACTTCACAAGTATCGGTGGCGTTGTAGGTTTCACCCCACACAAAAAAGTAAAGATAGAAGAGTGACGCCCACTAACGTAGAGAAACGTGGCCACCGAATTTTGCCGTTTCAATTGATAACAATTGATATGTAGGATTTAGAGTCCCAAAACCACCATAAGATTACGAGAAATGCCGCAGTTGAGAGCTGCGGAAATTTCGACCACCTGGGGTTTTAACGTGCACCCGAATTTAAGCACACGGGCCTACAGCATTTTAGCCTTCATTGAAAATGCAGCCGCCGCCTGCCGGGATTCGATCCCGCCACCTGCGAATCAGCAGCCGACTACCTTAGCTGCATGACCACCGCGGCGGGGCGATTTCGCCGCTTTAAGGTGTTAGCATTGCTAAATATTTCGCACACATGCCGCATCTGCGCACGTACGCATCCAACCACTTTACTTTCACACTTAAGGCGTTTTAATGGGGCTTATATCAATATCGCCAACGCTTCAAGTATAGCGCCTGATACGTATGTTGTGAGATGTGCCAAGAATATGTGTTTAAAACGCAATTTTTATTTACACATATTAAACTCGAAAACAAATTTATTGCCAGCAAACAAGGACGTGGAAAAAAGGGCACCAAAATACACATCGTGATGTGTCCCTGCTACATCTTTATGGGCTGGTACTGAAAATGTTTTATAGTTTCATTTACCAGCACGCCCAAGAATGTCAATGGAGACATATATGCATCTCAATTTCTTATGGAAATAAAATCAGTCTCTTCGAGCAATTCATCGCAATGACTATATATACGTCAGCTGCCAACGGAAACTTTCGAATATTTTGAATATTCGAAAAGAAAAGCCACTTATATTAGTTTTTTCTTGAATAATCTCTAGGGAAAATCAGTCCATGCTGAAAGCACACTTTGATATTGGCTGTTTATAACTTGCTTTACAACGATGGACTGATATTGTATAGTTAATACAACAAATTGACTTCCAAATATATTAATAGTGCTATAGGTATATAAGAACAAAGATAGGTAAATGACACCTTATGCAGCCCTTATTTTGGTATGCATTGGCGAATAACGAGGTGTCTTCCTGAGAAATTCGAGAAGTAAGCCCCACCTAAACTTACCCAGAGTGCCTCCATTTTCCCTGTTCAAGCTTGCGCACATGGATGCTCTCAGAAACGCAAAAAAGTGATGAAAAACTAAACGGATAAAATAAATGAGATTGAATAATTTTGTGTAACGTTTGTTTATGTGAAAGAACAAAGTACCAGTATCACAAAATTTTCGGCACACAAAATAACCGTTACGCGAAGCAGCGTCCATTCGGTATTTTTTTTTTGTAATGTACGCATAGTTGCAGTATGTCAATTTATTATAAAGGACCTGCCATGACACGTGTTGTGGAAAAAGAAAATGAATGAAAAAAAAAGAAGCCATCGCAACTCTTTCGGGGGATGTAACTCTAGTACGCCAAGTACGCGCTCCTTCGGTGCACAAGGGGCGTCAAACGATCGCGCACGCCACAAGTTTTAGGAGCGCGATGGAAGCTGACAGCCCGTGGGCGGCGCGTTGCAGAGATGGCGCCACCTCTCCGCTCTACTGTTGGCATAGCAACAGGCCGCGACGCTCTCTGGCGGCCTTGGAGGGGAAAGGGCCCGGATCCTCCCCAACGGCTGCGCTCATTCAGCCCCGGAGCGTTGGACGCAGCGGTGGAACTTCGAAGTTAGCAGCGAACTTCTTTTTCAAGTTCCCGAGCGCTATGCCGGCCGGCAACCACTGATTTTACGAGACAGCCACCACATCGTGACCTGCGACATGTCACATTTGAGTATAATCGGCCCGCATTTTGAATTACTGCCGATGAATTAAACTTTCACAGAATTCAAGGGACAAAAAGTTTTGCGACGAAACTTTTTTGTCGCCAGGAGAGGTGTGGAAGCATGGCCTCTCTTGTGGCACTCATTGTGCCAGCTATCCTGATGCCAGCGCTGGTAACCACCGAACTGTCGACGAATGCTCCGTTATGGGACGGCGGCTGGAACAACACCACGACGGCCGTGGCCCCACCGCCGGAGCCCAACCGGACGTACCAAGACCCGACCTACTACTCGGTTAACTATCGCATCATCGGCACCATCTTCCAAGGCATCATATTTGCCGTGGGTGTCTTGGGCAACATCATGGTGGTCATTGTTGTGATGCGCACGCGGAGCATGCACACGCCCACGAACTGCTATTTGGTCAGCCTGTCCGTAGCCGACTTCATGGTCCTGGTCGCATCAGTACCGAACGAGATCATCTCCTACTATGTACTCGGCGATGAGTGGATCTGGGGCCGCGCCGGGTGCGCGCTCTTCATCTTTCTTCAGTACCTGGGCATCAATGCATCTTCGCTGTCTATTACGGCTTTCACCGTGGAACGCTACATTGCGATCTGCCTGCCCATGAAGGCACAAACCATGTGCACGGTCAAGCGTGCTAAAAAGATAATACTGGGCGTGTGGCTGTTTGCTTGCTCCTATTGCTCCCCTTGGCTTGCACTGACCACAACCACGGCCGTCTACTACAAAGGTCACGACAACATAGAGACTTGCACGTTTGCGCTGTCCAGACACCACTACCGCAGTTACTTCTTTGCCGACATCATACTGTTCTACGTCGTGCCACTGCTTCTCTCGTGTGTCCTCTACGGACTCATGGCCCGCGTCCTTTTCCAGTCAAACTTCAACTCCAAGGCAAACGGCTCGACAGACTCGAAGAAGAGCTCTGCCAACAGTAGCTCTAGGGTCCAGGTGAGAGGCATCTGTCAATTTTTTTTTTTGCTGTATAGTTTTTTCTACCGTTTCGTACAGTAGATAGTGGTGCTAGAATCGGAAGTTTAGTGATATTTTTCGCAAGTGTCTAGAAGCGGCCTACAGAATGAAGACTATTAAGTGAATCAGTCAAGAATGCTAACTCGCGAAATGATGTGTACTACATAATTTTGAAAGTGGTGGACCAAGTATAGATTTTCTTTTTCAGGTAGCACAGTCCACATGCCATCTCACCTTCTTTTTCTTACAGAAGTAGAATGCAATGCAAAGCAAATATACGCTTTTCTAAAAATACTGATAGGATTAATATTACAGCGGGAAGTGCTTCGGCATATCATGTAGTGCCGACCGCAGCGGACTCAAACTATCAACACAAATGTCGCGTGTAATTGTTAGAACTTCGGTGTGTTGTTGACTCCCCAGATGTTTGTAGTCTTGCGCAAATGAACAAGATATTTTTGTACTTACCAGCAAGAGAGATTTATGCTATTCGCACAAGAAAAGTCATACTAGCTGCGGAAAAAAGCTTTTCCACTTTAAAACCGTAAAAGTAAATATAAATCCAAAAGCCCACCTTTTACAAAAAAAATTCATAGCGTTCTTTATATAACTACAGCGTAAAATGTTACTGCTAATTTAAGTAACATGTACTGTTTGGCGAAGATTTTTAAGTGGACAATACTCGCCCCCCTTGGTGAAGCCAAAGACGACATGGCGACAATGTCGGCATCTGGTTTTTGGTTTGACAATAAGCGTTGCGAAACGTTGGAAAGTGCTCAGAAACGACACGTGCATTGGTTGCAAAAATGATGACACTTTTTAGAAAAGCAATACTGCATGAATGTGGGAACGTATTTTCCGTATTTTACAACGTTCAATTTTTTTCGGTCTGATAGCGTATGCTCAAGACACACGGCATTATGCTTACAGAAACCTAAATGCGTCTACGCATAGGGTCAAGTACTTTCTACGGAGTTTTTAAAAGAACTAATAACAAGGCGGTGCACTGGTCCCATTATAGGTTCAATAAATTGGTCAGTACTTTTTCCATAGTTTCGTCAATAGCCTGACGTTAGTTATGTTTTTAACAGCTTCGTAATGGGTCGACCAGACTGCCGATCACAAAAGCAGAGGAATGGTGTAAGTTTGTACTTTAAAAAAGTTCAATGCGCCCTCGTACATGTAATGTTTTTTTTTTAGCGTATTTCATTTAGGCACCTGATTGTATGCTCTGAGTGGTTCTTTCGGGTACTTGGGTCCCGTCAGGCAGAGGACATCTGCCTTTTGCCCTTGTATCCGAGTCATACATTTGTCTGGAATAAAGAGCTGAAAAGCTGAGAAGATTCAGAGTTGTCACTGCGATTTGAATTTTCTGGCAAAAAATTTTTTTAATCCGAACCACGCATATTTATTATATTCATAATAAATTACCAGTGTACACTTACCGAAGCAACGACTGATGATCACAAATACAAAAACGTTCATCAGAAAAAAAAAACTGTCCATTCTTTCTCAAGTTTGAATGAATGCGGGGAGGAGCATTGAAGAAACTTCACTCTTTGCACAATTAGGCTACGGAAATGTCGCTTAACATGAACTAAAAGGAGAGATGCAATCATGCGTGCTTTCCTGCTTTTTTTTTTTGAGGGGACGAAAAGATCAAGATTAAGTGGAATCAATTCATGGTACTGCTGCACGAAAACCTCGAAAGAGTTGAAGCGATTCTTCGCATAAACCGATCAACACGTTCAGAAACACGTACTACAACGCTCATACAACCGCGAAATCTAAATCTTTAAAGAAATAGTTTCCTTTTGTGTCTTGATTCATTTTGTCACCAAAGGCTTAACGACAGTATCTTTAGGTGCATTACAATTTTCTTTGAGAAGGACGGAGCGAAAAAACTGGGTGCGAACAAACGCCAGAGGCCATGGAGCTTTGCACTTTTCTTGCTCAAAACGCGAACAAAGTGAAATACGTGGGCTTCTGAAATTCAAAGATTATTTTGGTCTGTATAACTCACAAAAAAGAAAGCTCAATATGTCGTTCATGACGCCGAATAACTATCTGCTTTAGCACAACCCGTGTGATAGTTACAATATGCAGGCATGCATTCTGCGATCAAGGACCCCCTCCTCTTCTGCAACAACCAACATGCCTCCCCAAGGAAAAAAAAAGACAAACGAGTTAAGCCAAAGAAGCATTGACGAGGGGAAGAGAGGAATGAAATGCTGCTAATTCAGTGACTCTATGGAACCTAACCAATAGGATGCTGTGTTTACATTCAATGCTATCTATAACATAGGAATATCATTTTTTTGAAGACTTGACTGTCAACAGAAACAAATGGCGGCCAACCGGTTGAACTCTCCAAGAACTATCTCTGTCATTAATCGCGCTGAAGATGACGCTACCACGAGCTGTGCTCCTTAAACAAAAGATTGTCATCTCGTGTACCTTGCCTGCTGTTAGCGCAATGACTGCAAACTGCACTATTGCGGACACCAAAGAAATGCCTACACGAGGTTTTCACAAAGTACGCCATTCCTTGTGACAACTTTTCTTTTAGTTGCACACACGCGATTGATGTTGCATTTATATTTCCGCTATTGTAAGTACATTGTACTGAGAGTTGTAATTATACTTTTGCATCAATAGTGTCTACGAGCAGCTCTAGGCAGCAATTTTATTGACATCTCCGGAGACTCGATGGTTATGGTGCTCGGTTGATGACCTGAAAGACACCTCTTCAATCTCAGCGCAGTGGTCACATGTTCATAGATGGGATATACGAGGGTCCCGTGTACTGTGCAACATCAGTGCTCGTTAACGTAACCGAAAAGATTGAAAATTTTAAGAGCCTTTCACAATTGCGTCTCGTAGGCACCTTGGCACGTTAAACACCTTAAATCAATGATCTCATGTACATTTTTTTGCCAGAGCATACGATATAGCTAAGAACAAATCTGAGTATTTTCTGTAGACAACGCTTGCCAAGTCGCATATATGTGAGAGTTAAGTTCAATAAACTTCACAACATTCACAAAAAATATAGAAACACTATCGAATCCCTTTACACTCTTTCAAAATCTCTAAGGTATGCTGACTAAAATACTTCCTTCTACGATGTGAAGGGGATGGTTCAGATATAATGAGATGAATAACTTTTCCATCAACGCTAGAAATGACTGCGGGTAAAAGTTGGCTGAGCCACAAGCACACTGACCGTTATGCGCAGTGACCTCTACGATGAAGACAATGGTACCACATATAGTAAGAAATATAATAATGTACGGGCTTTTACGTCCCCAAACTAATTAATGATTATGAGACACCGTAGTGAAGGGCTCTGGAAATTCCAACAACCATTTGGTGCTCTTCAACGCGCACTGACATTCCACAGCACACGGGCCTTTAGCATTTCGCATCTATTAGAATGTGACCGCCACGACCGGGATCGAACTCACGACTTCTGGGGTGAGCTGCAGCCCAGCACCCTGGCTGCTGATCTACCGAGGCGGGCGTATATTTAGATATATAACAAATCACGTAGCAAGCCTACTATTCAGAATAGAAACATTTCAAAATTGGGTAATGGATTTTGAATGTCACGAAAAATAATAAATAAAAAGCAAGTTAATAAGTTTATTTACAATGTTAACATATATTGATGAAACAATTGTTACAGTGCTCCCACTGAATTTATTTGCAAAAAATTCAGACTAAATAATTATTTTATTTATGTGAATGATGAATTCCAATAAAGAATTCACAGCATGATCACTTTCCAAAGGTGTGTGTAACGGGTGACATATCAATGCGTCTATTTATCTTGATTGCATACCTCATAGAAAAACTTGAAATTTTCGTTTACATCTCTCTTGAATACAAGACTTTACTTATAATTACAGATCTTGAATACGTGTATTATATATCCTTCTAAACATAAATCTGAAGAGCGGGAACTGATTGGTTCAATAAAATGTGCCTCAATAGGCGCATTGATATATATTCTTTCAATATTTGTGATGTCTTCGTAGTCCGTACTAATGTACAATGAGATACCAAAGAAAAAAAAAGGACTGTTGTGCAATGCCTTGTTTTATTTTAAACTTCAAACCTGGAGCGTACCAAGTATGCGTTTTTTTGCTCAGAATAGGTGGATAGCAAAACGGCACGTCGTCTGCTATAGGTACTTCCAGTTCGAGGCCTATCCCTTCTCTGCTTCAAGGTGCCTGCTGCGCTGTGTAATCGGTGTGGAAACGCGTACAATTCAGTGACGCTTTTGCTGCCGCTTGTCGAATGATTGTGTTTTTCAATTCTTTTTTTGTGTGAATGCATTGCTGTTATTTTGCGCATTTCACGCGAAATACGTGGACATGGGCAAAAACGAGCAACGTTGAGAGATGGGTTTCGAGCACAGCGTGCGGTTATGCTTTGAAACACGCAGTAGTATTTTGCAGGTTCACCTGAATTTAGTATTTTCGAGCGCATACACTAACTGAGGCCACTTCAAAATTACTCACACATATGTAGGCATGTCGTCATATGTCAATATACCCACAATCTCTACATATGTACGCGTACTTTGCGCGATCAAGTATGCCGATATGGTGTATTTCTATTGTATATTCTGCGTCGCTAGCTGTTAAATTTATTGATACAGGTGAGTGTGTAAAAAGCCCACAGAACAATACCACTCAAATAATGGTATCATGCTACGTAAAACGTTCGAAGTCGCTTTTGAAGCAACGAGTAGCATGCTGTGGCGTCTCTGTTATGCCAGACTTGCAAGCGTGTAGTGCTGATAAATCATGTTATATTACGACTCACATATCCTTAAAAGCTATCTTGTACAACTGTACGCTGAGTGCGGATAATTTTGCGTGCATTGCAAAACATTTAGTGTGTGAGGGACGACACTTTATTTAAAGATATATTTAGAGGCGTAAAAAAGCCAGAGACCTTTGAGCATGTTTCATAATTAGCGTTCGAAACAAATTGCGAGGCCATTCGATATTTCAAGACCGTAATTGTATCTTTGCTACAAAAAAGTAAACAAATTATTTTACGGGTACGTGCGCAACATGAAAACAAGTGAACGGATATTTCGTGATCTCACGATGTGCAGGAAATCTTTGTATGTGACAAATCATGTGCGATATAACCTTCGCTGTAAAACAAGCATGTGTACGCAGGTTCAAGCAACTTCAATGAAAAAATGACCGCTCGCGCGATTATAACTATTTTGTAGTGATTGCATTTGTTATTCAATCATACTACATAGCGCTCCAAAGTATTACGCAGCAATTTGCAAAAAAAAAAAAGGGCACCACGAGTGCAAGGTGGAGGACTCGCCTCAAACCGGAAGTCAGCGCAGACGGGTGCCGTAGCTCACAATTCATTGCGTGAGCCACGATTTTGCCATCCACCGATTCTCACCATATACAAAGGCAATCACGTGAGAAATTTTTGTCCAGCTCCGATCCCACACACTTTTTAAACTCCAGAGCAGCGATTTCTTACTTTAATTCATTTCTTATCGTTTTAAGGCCCTTTCACGGATAAGCAAAATGATTGCTGTTTCCAAGTCCCGAGAACAGTGAGTTTCACGCTGCTAGAAAGTTCTGGCTCTGAGTGCCGAAGTGACGCACATTCTCTCGTATAACAACATATGCGGCGTCCCCTTTAATTCGCTGGCCCGTGTTTGTTGGTGGCGCAGCGACCGACGTGACTTCTCGGAGCAATGGCGGAAACTATAGCAGTGCGCAGAACGGTCGAAGGCGATGAAAATTTGCAACCCACGCACGCTCGACCATCCGTGGTGTCGAGCGGATGAAGCAGTTAGACCGGAGGCATAACACGTCGCACGCGCTCCTCACAAAACGCGGAGACGAAATAAAGTCCGTAATAATGTTTCCCGGCCCTACTTGGCGCGCACTCTCGGGTCTAGTTGGGCACCATACAGACCATTTCTTTTGTGGCACGCTTGTATAAGTCATGGCAGCGGGGCACGCTACAGCAATCATATAGGCTGGCATAGGCTACACGAACGGTTCTCTCGGGCATCCCGACATCACAGGCATCACAGTTACTCGCTTTTTTTATGCTCGTGAGGAAAAAAGAAAATTATTTTGGAGTCAAGATGCTACAAGAGAAGATTGATCAGAAAAAAAGTGCTTCGCTTAGGCCTCAAACTGCACCCTCTTGACGTATTGGGCTTGTAAAAATTAACTCTACCTCGGAATACTAGGCACATGCTTGATCTGTGGTGACGTAGGAGTATTTACAAATATAGTCTTACGTATTACATTTACACACAATAATTGAAAGCTACCGTGTGAGAAAGTGTTCTGAGAATTAAGGCCACATAATCATTCGCTTTTCACATAACTTCTCACATGTCTGCTCACAATCAGCGAGTTGCTGATAAACCACTCACCATTGTAAGGTCTATGGCGTTGTGTTTACCGAATGAATAATAAGGTTATAATAATAATCATCGGCACAGTGCACCACGTTCGTTTTGAACGTCTATTTTCTCCGCCTCAATGTCCACCATTTACTCAGCTGTTTCACACACAGGCAGTCGGGCACTACGCACTTTTATACGATGATGACTGTATACAGACCTTGTACTTAAGGGCCCTGTGGGCCTTTCACTTAATCTCGACGTAAATTTTAGCCAAGGCGATTTTTTGTTTTGGTTGTCTTTTTAATTTACTCTGAAGCCTAAGCCGTCACTACCATTTGACCTTACTATACGGTGTGGCAGCTCCAATGGCAAGACGACGTAGCTCTCACCGATCACGGTTCTCGTTTGCTCTGCTTTAATCGGATATGTCAGAAGAAGATTACTCCTGAAACTCGCGAGATAATATATTACCATTTATTTTACATATACCATTTAGCGTATATATTTCCCTGTTGCATGGTTCAAATGTGGGAAGATATAAAGCCAGATATATATTTGATATGAATAAATGATATAGCCAATTTTAGTGCTAGCTTCCGCACACGCCGTCAATTTATGGCAACATGTCCCGACCTTGCTAGAATTGTAGTTGCCCTCTGGGAATCATGGGAGAACGGGGATAGCGTAAATTTCGATTAGTGTTACCACTGCCAAATTTAGAATGAAACACCAAGCAAAAAGAGTAGCAGACAAATTGGACGTTATATTTTATTTATTTGATCTTGCCTCCAGAAACGTATGTCATAAAAAACCAGCAGCTAACCAGCCCAGCTAACTACATTGGCTGAATGTGTGTAAACTTCACCTTGGGCTTTTGAAACCGCTGTGATAGCTTACTACTCAATACTTTCACCGTCAATCAGTATTGTGCTAATTATTTGGCTCGCTGAAACACCCTGCCCAGTAATAAATATCTTCCAGAAGATAACGTTCGGAGATCCATGCTGTGAACACGCGTATAGCAGAGTTTTCTGGACAGCGCATTCAAAAGTAATTGTCAATAATGTTATTCGTATGAAAAACGAAATATATCTCTCAGGTATTCTCTTTAATATATAGCAAAAAAAAATAAGAATGCAAGCTGAGATTTGCTCACGAAATAAAATTTTTTTGTGAAAGCGTGAATATTAAGGTATATGTGACAGTTAGTATTTTAACGCGGCATAAGAAGATGGTATTGTAACGAATAATGTAAAAAAACTCAATTTTCTTGGAAGGAAAGCTCGTGAAAGTAGCACGCAGTGCAATTCAGCAA